GGTTTTGGCAAACCAACTTAAAGGTGCATTACCGCCACCTACTGATCTGGAGTGTGGAGTGAACAGATTTGGTAGAGAGAAGGATATTATATTTAAAAAAAAATAAATTCTATAAAAAAAAATTCATAAATAAACCTACACTATTACAATTTATATTCTTTCCATATTTCCTGTCTTTTTTAGATAATTGAACACTTCTTCTTTAATTCTTGATTGCATTCGTCTATTCCCTAGTAATATCTTTAGTGATACTTTATCATATCCCATCAAACCTAATTTATGATTAAGCTGATTTCTTTCTCTTTCATACGCATCAAAATAATCGTCGACGCTCTATGACGCTTTTCTTTCAATTCTCCATGTAGTAGCCAAAACAAACTCAATTCAAAATTATGAACAAAAAAAAAAAATCCATTCTATTTTGTTTTATAATTCAAATTCAGGATTGAAAAATTCCTATGCTGAGGAACATCCATATCTTTTTGTGTGGTTATTTTTAAATGGAAAAAGACTTGCTGATATAGCCTAATTTCCCCTACTCTCTTTTGAATAAACAAAACATAATCCTTTTTTTCTTTCTTTTTTTATGTATCAATCAACACTTGTTTGATTTGCTCCTATAACCTAGTTTGCTTAAAGTATTGAAGCAAATCCTATTTAATACGTTTTATTAGGCTATTATATCTGCATTGTGCAGCGCATTGTGTGAGTGTAAATATGACATTTCCTAAATTCAATCCTTTAATTAGGCTAATTCTTATGACACAGTCTAGAGACTATTATGCATGTAGCCCCCAGAATATCAATAAGATCAGTCTTGCTATGTTACATGTGTTCATTCATACACACACAACAATATTATTTTAAAGGAGTGCAGTTAAGACAAAAATAATTATATTCTTAAAAAGGCATAGTCAACATGACCATGAATGCAATTTTTAGAATTGCTTTTGGACCTAATTAAAAATGCATTGGAACATCATCACTACAGAAGAATTAATCAGATGGGACAAATGCCCAACAGACTCCCTGCCGTCACAATTCTGTAAGAATATCCTATGAGTGCGGTGCAGTGGAAAACACCACATAATGCCTGCAGAGCAAAAACAGGATTATACCCAGAAAAACTCAGAAAAGGACCATTACATTCCACATCTACATGAGCCACACTCAAACTCTACAACCCCAACACCTGTCAAGCTCAAATGCCATAAATCCTTAACCTACCAAGAGATGGCAATATACTGTTCCCTCAGCAAGTCATGTCAAGTGTAATGTTCTCATTACAAACCACATGTAAGCAAGACAACAAAATATAGCTCCTTCTAAATAAATACACACACACATACATACATAAGAAAAAAACAACACCTGATCTGACTTTAACATTTTCTAGTTGAAATTTAAAAAATAAATTAAAAATAGAGAATAAATTCTATCTGTGCCTAAACAGAATTTCCAATTATGTGACTGTGACCAACAAAAATAAGTCAAGTTCTGACTACTGTATGTACAAACTCAGCATGCTTTGCCATAAAGACAGGCAGAACAAGCTGTGCTCTGTGCTCTAATCTAGCCTAGGAGCAATTTTAACATTTTCCTTCAGAAGTCACAAACTATACCTACTTGCCATCTTTTGGCAACATATGTAACATATATTCCCCAAAGTAATAATAAATACATACACATATACATTGAGAAAGTCTGTGTTTTATTAAAACATATTGATCAGCAAATGTAGAACAGGCTTCTGCCAGTTGCGTACTAAATAGGCTACGTGTTTAAAACGGTTTTTGAAAAAACGTTTAATTATAAAATATAATTGACACATTATTTACTTGTATTATATTATTATATATATAAAGTTTATTATTGGATATTAATATAAATATTTAAATAATATCAACCACCACCCTGCAGTCATAATAAAATTCTCTAGACGGTGAGTTAAAGTGACAGCACCTGACATTCGAGCAAACTTTCAATCAGTTGTGATAAAACAGAAAAAAAGTAATGTAAAAACTTAAAAACTTGAGACAGTAGAGGAAAAGTACTGGACAATGAAAGAAAGAAACTGTTTAAAACGGTTTTTGAAAAAACTTTTAATTATAAAATATAATTGACACATTATTTACTTGTATTATATTATTATATATATATAAAGTTTATTATTGGATATTAATATAAATATTTGAATAATATCAACCACCACCCTGCAGTCATAATAAAATTCTCTAGACGGTGAGTTAAAGTGACAGCACCTGACATTCGAGCAAACTTTCAATCAGTTGTGATAAAACAGAAAAAATGTAATGTAAAAACTTAAAAACTTGAGACAGTAGAGGAAAAGTACTGGACAATGAAAGAAAGAAACTAACGCCTTTGTATTTTTCTCAGACTGATCGAACTCTAATAGGCCTATGTGCATGACATGCACATGTGTTTGTGAGTAAGAAAATAACAGACTGAGCAAAGCAGAGCTCCCCACCCAGCACGATTTACCGCAATCACGACACACCCAGACACAACCGCTTACAACACACACACACACACACACACCTGTGGGACAAACATGACGTTTATTCCATTACGCAGATATTCACCATTACTTCTTAAATAAATAAATGTGGGTGACAGTAACTTTGTTGTGAGGATAATGAAAGAGAGAACACCAGGTCTTCTGAATCAAGGGAAGATCAAAAGAAAGAGGACTAAACTGTATTTAAACAGCTCTTTTCAGCATCCAACAGCAGCTGTTTTTTCTGTTCTGTTTTCTGGGGGCAGAAATCACGTCACACGAATTCGTTTGAGCAAGTGAAATGCGTTTGTTAACGGCTGAGTTGCGCTCAGCTGGATTTCAATGGAAACGGGACCTCGCGCAGGGGGGCTGACAGACCAGTTACCGCGCACCATCCGTGATGACCGCATTTCTTAAGGGCAGCGCGAGCTGTGGCTTCATGCGCACGCTCACTCCTTTTTGAATCATTTGGTGAGAGCAGGACGTGCCGATCCCTGTCCGTTCCGCCAGACTGCTGAAAAAAAGACAGAGGAGGCGAAAAAGAG